CTATAATTAGTCATTTAATGGCCCTCAATTGTCATTGCAGTAGGCAGGTCAACCAAACGTTTTCCTAACCAGAGCTTAATTCTGATTGAGGTGGAAAGCCACCAGAATGTGGTTTCTACTTTCCCACATCCAAGCCTGGCACCTCAAGGGTCAGTAGATCCCACCCGTTATCTCTACTGCTATTTTTGCCATTGCTGTCAGCCTTGCTGTGTGTTTCTGGCAGGTCCTATTTGAATTTCTGATTCTGCTTTTGTGTAATTGCCCTTCAAAATTAAGATGTTACTTGTGTGCGGAGATGGTCTGATCTGTGCTTGTATTTCTTGTAATAAAGATATCATCATATTTACTTTGGTGATATGTGGTTTGATCAACATAAAGTCACAAAACTGTGATTGGGTCCCTGAGTGGAATACTGGACTGTCACTGATGTTGAAACACAGGTGTGTGTGTGTATGTGTGTGTCTATGTGTGTGTGTGTATCTGTGTGTGTGTCTGTGTGTATGTCTGTGTGTGTGTGTCTGTGTGTATGTCTGTGTGTATCTGTGTGTGTGTATGTGTGTATGTCTGTGTGTGTGTGTGTATGTGTATCTGTGTGTGTGTGTGTGTGTGTGTGTGTGTCTGTGTGTGTGTATGTGTATCTGTGTGTGTGTGTGTGTATGTGTGTGTGTATGTCTGTCTGTGTGTGTCTATGTGTGTATGTCTGTCTGTGTGTATATGTGTGTATGTGTGTCTATGTGTGTGTGTCTGTGTGTGTGTATATATATTTATATACACATATACATATATCTGTGTGTGTCTGTGTGTGTCCGTGTGTCTGTGTGTGTGTTTATTTCTGCCTGATTGGATTAGGCTACACAGATTTATCGTCACTGATCGAATGTGCTGTTGAATATTTATTATTTCCTCCCTGATTTTCCTTTTTCTGTCTGCAGTTCCAGGCCAGGCTTCCTGAGAAATGTGTGACCAGACTTTTGCTGCTGCGACCTTTGGGCCGTGTGAAAAATGCCAGGAAGTCGGGCCATTGCGGAACCTTTACATCAACACGCAGCAGATCAACTATTGCTCACTGTGTGTCGAAATGGTATGGCCAATGATTCGAACTTCAAACATGTTTTAACAAGTTAAGACAGAGAATGTGAATTTAGCCAGCGTTACTACCTTTCAAACACGTTACAGGCCACAAACCTAAGCACCTTCATCTGGTCACTAAAATTGAATTATTAATGCCTCTAAAAGAATGTCCATTGAGGAATCCTTCACTTACTGTGCTCCTATGTGTTTGGACAGGTCCTGATCCAGGATTTAAACTACTTTTATTTTCATAGAATCGTCCAGGTCAGAATCGGTGCCTGTGCCAGCTCTTTGACAGAGCTACTCAATGATTCCCTTCCCAACGCTCTTTCCTCATTCCCCACAAACATTTTTATTTCAAGCCTTCAGCCCATTGCCTTATGAAAGTTGCTGTTGGCCCTGCGTCCACCATATTTCAGGTATTGCAGTCCACTCTATATGACTTGTGCTGTGTCAGTACAGAGCAAAAGCACTACACATAGGAGTTACAGTTCAGTATAAGTGTGCTCCTAGAAGACTTTATTCACATGGAATGATTGAGATTTGGAACAAATTGCCATGGATGTCTACTAAAGTTGAGTGAATCACTGGTTCAGACTGAACAACTAATTGGTTCTCGCTCGAGACAGACAGAACTTTGCTTCTCAGCTGCCCAACTAGAACTTTAGCTATCTTTTTAGTTGCAGATTCAGGGAGTGCTTTTAAGGTGCTGAAATCTACGTCAGATTAGCCTATAAAGTGCCACGGAGTACAACAAATCCCTAAACGTTCAATCTGTGAAACCACATGCAATTTACATTCCAAACCCAAACTGATGGTGTGACCTTTCATTCCTAGTCAAGTCAGATGATGATGCCAGATTTACAAGTTTAATATTTGGTACAAAGTGGGAATTCTTTCACATTGTAATTGTGTCTTAAGAGGGAGCTAGATAAGCACTTGAAGAAACGTAATATTGGAGGCCATGTGGAATGATTAGGAAAATTCAATTGGATTTAATAGCTCGGCAGTGAGGATACAGTTGGATAACTACCTCTTCTGAGTTTAATGTCCATAAATCAAACGGTTCTCATGTAATATTAAAACCATTGGCAATATAAGTATGTAAATCATTCCTGAAAAGTTGAAGGTCCTATCATCTTCAGCTTCTTCATCAATTACTTTCTTTCATCATATAGTTAGAAGTAGGGATTTTCACAGATTGTTATATAATTTCCAGTCTCATTTGTATTTCTCCAAATAATGAAGTCCACATACAGCAAGACCTGAGTAACAGTTAGGCTTGGGCTGATAAATAGCAAATAGCATTCACACCACACAAGTGCTAGTCAATTACCTTCACCAACACAGAGAATCGAATAGTTGCAGTCTTTTTCTCGGATTGGAAATGCCAAAAGAAGGTGGCAAAGGTTTAAGATGAGAGGTGAAAAGTTTAAAGGACATGTGCAAGGCAAGTTTCTTACACAGAAGGTGGCAGGTGCTTGGAACATGATGTCAGGGATGGTGGTAGAAGCAGATACAAAAGCAATGTTTAAGAGGCATTTAGACAGACATGTGAACAGGTAGGGAATAGAGAAATATGGACCATGTGCAGGCAGATGGGGCTAGTTTAGAATGGCATTATGGTCAGCACAGAATGGTGGGTCAAAGGGCCTGTTTCTGTGCTGTACTGTTCTGTGTTCTATGAGTCTCTACCATCCCTGAATCCCTATATCATCAGCATCCTGAAGGTTATAAATGGACCTAATAAATACTGTAACTAAAAGAGCAGATCGAAGGCTGGGGGTTTGATGGTAAATAACTCACCTCCTGTCTCCGCAAAGCCTGTCCATCAGTTACAAGGCACAATTCAGGAGTCTGATAGAATACTCTCCATTTGTCCTGAATGGGTGCAGCTCCAGCAACACTCAGAGCATGAGGCATAAAGAGGGTGCTTCATATTTTCAATCTTTGGGAACAACTCAGGAGCATGATGGAATACTCTTAATTTGCTGGGATGGGTGCAGCTCAAAAAACATTCAAGAATCTTCACAGCATTAGGGACAAAGCAACCCATCCTGGCTGATACACCAACCAACCCATCTTAAGCATCATCCGCCACAGTGATAAGGATGTGAACAATCTACAAGGTGTACAGTACAACTCTCCAAGTCTCCTTGGACAGCACCTTCCAAAGCATACCTCTACTGTAAGTTCCCTTCCAACTTACACCGCTCACTCCCTTTCAACAATACACCATTCTTTAACTGTCACAGGGTCAAATTCACAGAAGCACCCCTCCAACTGTCATGTGGATATACAGAAGTTACACTACATAGACTGCAGTGGTTCACCCCTAGTGTAACTCACCATCACATTCTCCAAGACAATAAGGAATGGGCAACAGATAGTGGTCCAGCCTCAGATGTCCAGATTGCTGGAGCAAATGTAGGAAAACATTGGGAGATAGTGCGAACTGCAGATGCTGGAGTCAGAGACAACACAATGTGGCGCTGGAGGAACACAGCAGGTCAGGCAGCATCAGAGGAGCAGGAGAGTGGATGTTTCAGACCTGTATCCTTCATCAGGACTGGGGAGGAGGAAGGGAGCTGGGTAATAAATAGAGGGAGGAGAGGTGGGGCTGGGGGAAGGTAGGTGGGATGGCGATAGGTGGTTGCAGGTAGGGGTAGTGGGAAGGGTGGGACAGATAGGTGGGGAAGAAGATCGGCAGGTAGTGTCGGGTCAAGGAGGTGGACATGAGAGGGGGTGGGGAGATTTTAGAAGTGGTGAATTCCATTTTCAGGACATTGGGCTATAGGCTCCCGAGGCGGAATATGAGGTGTTGTTCCTCCAGTTTGCATGTGGTGTCATTGTGGAGGAGGCCCAGGATGGACGTGTCACCCATGGAGGGGGAAGCGGGGTTAAAATGGTTAGAAAGTGGAAGGTGTTGTTGATGATAGCACACAGAGCACAGGCATTTGTTAGAAATCTGAAATCATAAACAGTAAATGCTGGAAATTCTTCACAGTCTGGCAGCATCTGTGGAGTGAGAAGCCAAGTTAACATTTCAGGTCTGTGACATTTTGGTTAGGACTGAGTAAAGTTCGAGATGTAACAGTTTTGAAGGAAATGAGAGCAGTGATTATGATGGGGAATTGTGGAACATTGAGTCCCAAACTTTCAGGGAGCTGGTTTGTGTCTCCACATATGCAGTCTGACCAGCTGACTATTTCCAGCGTTTTGTGTATTTATTGTTCTGTGCTGTTAAGGGGGGTGGGGGTTAACCCACATTTGGAACCCATCCATTTTGAATTAACACTTCTCAAAAACGAACACGACATTTGTCGTGCATTCACATTAATAGATTGCAAATTTTTCCAACTCTTTGGAAAATGAGACACAGTGTAAACCTTCCACGACAGGGAGACACTAACAAAATAATAAAATCAACCCATTCCGCCCCTGTTTAATATTTTCATACAATGTGGGAATGAATGACACCGTTAACTCCAATGTGTGGTGGCGCCGTTCACGTCCTTCTGAACAATTTAAGGAGTTTTGGGTGGAGGGGTCTGGAGGAATTATGGAGAGAGATGCTCGAGGCAGATTGTCTACATCCTTCACCTGGACAGTTTTGCTGGAGGGACATGGTGGATACAGTGTTTAATCTGTTAGCTAGCACTTGGATTCTTTCAGTGTTGGCCTGGGCAATGCTACATTTTAAAACTGACGCGCTCCCCACGTCTCTGTAATTAACTGCCGCTCCCTAACAGGCAGGTCACACACACACACACAGATACAGGAGGTTAAACGGTCTGGCTGTGAATGCTCTTCCTAATCCTTGTCATTTCAGAAGGGAAATCTTCCCATTTGGAGGGTGATGTAGCCTCCCACTGACGTCAGCCAGCCTCCATCTAACTGAGCTGGGGCTTTGGGTATCATTCCGGCAACAAACAGCATCCAAACACACACACACACACACACACAGAAAGCTTGCCTTTTCTAAAAAAAAAGAAAATTCTTATTTTTGTTTCCTTCTCGGTGTCAAAAAGATGGCAACCGAGGGGCTGCAGGAGAACGAAACCGTGTCGTCGCTGAGGGACGAGGCAGAGACGCTGAAGGGGAAACTGGAGGAGGAGAGGGCGAAGCTTCATGATGTGGAGCGTAAGTACAGCAGTCCCCGGGATAGCAGCGCCACGGCCCAGGCACTCTCCTTCTCACATTGAACATGGACGGTGCCTCCTCCCTGCTCTGCCAGCACTTTCTATCATGGCTCCAGCCCTGGCACCAGTTTGAGCCAGTGCACAATCCAAAAACTGCAGCATTTACCATGGAGAGATGTGTGTGTGGATTATTAAAATAATCTGTAGTCGTGTAGGTGATTGCTAATAGTGTGTGCGAGTGTATTTTAAAATAGTCATTGTATAGGTCGTTGCTAAGTGTGTGTGTGTCTGTGTATAAGGATTTTAAAATAATCAGTAAATGTAGAGATGGTTGCTAAGTGTGTGTTTGTGTGTGTGTGTGGATTTTAAAAT